AGCCATTTTCATTGTTTCTATAGTATAGTAGTTACTATCCTAGTGTCTCATTTGTATTTACTTAGTTTACATGTTTTAATAATTGTAAAGCGCTTAGAGCTTTATGATAAGCGCTATATAAAAATGCCTAAATAAATAAATAAATAAATATATAAATTGAGATCTTGCGGCGAACTGGATAGCATCAATTTTAATCAATGTCCCGAATCTTACCTTTAAAGTTTCTGGAGACACTTTATCTGTGTGTGAGATTGTATAGTTTTTGTTTCATATATACACACCAATGAAACAATGAAGGTGTGGGCAACGACCAGCCTTTGGCATGGGCGCAGCTTAGTGCCTTCACATGGCCATTGATGACAATTGACTGACCATTACTTACAAGTAACCGACCACTGACCAGAAAAGCTGACCCTTAACAAAACACTTACCATGAAGGCGTAAATATTTTTGTATCGTATTTACCTGAGCGTCCAAGAAACATTACGGGGTAAAATTTATTGACATTTATTGGCTTTGTACAATTCTATATTAGTCATATTATTGGGACTCACCGTATTGAAATACAAAGCAGCACAGAAAAATCAATTCAAAGATTTTGACTCAGAACATAAAAAGCAAGAAATAATTGTTGCGTTACAAAAAAAAAGTTCTTTATTTCAAATAAAATTTCAAATAGAAAGATAAATGTGGTACATCCTTGTATCCTCTGTAAAGGAATTTATAATACTTTTTTTCAAGAAAGACATTTTTCTCAAGTACAAAACTCAATGATTAAGCATACATTCGTGCAATATAGATATATATATTTTTTTGTGTCTGTTGTACGAGATATCACGTGAGTATAAATTTCGTAAATTCAACAATGCTATCTGAACTTATTATGTTTACCAAAAAAAAAATAAAAAAAATAGATTACAGATAAATAAAAATAAAACCCAGGTGGCATATTTTTACAATGTACATTCGGAATGGATAGAAATAAGATGCAACTTAAAGTTTCACTTATTGAAAGTAGCGTTTGATTTCAATTCAAACACATTTGAGCACACCATGGTGGTCTTTTGAAAAAAAACAACCACGAAACTAAAGAAATCTGCAGGGGCTGTTAGTCCTTTATCGTTTATGATTCAATTTATTATTTATTTATGTAAAAATGTATGGCTTTTTTAAAAAAAATTTCCAAATATTGCTTTGCATAAATAAGTGATTGATTGTTTTCGGGTAAATTTAAATAATTTGAAAAGATTTCAATGTAAACCCATGAATCAAATCTATAGAACATTTGGAACTGAAACCAACAGGGGGTTTATTGAATCACTGAAACACATTTTACAATCTAGATCTGTATCTGACTTCATTAAATCTCACATAAACCGAATTAGGCAAACACACGTTTTAAATTTTCCTCGTTACATTTTTTTTCCATTTCAAAATTTTTTTTTGAGCTGTGCATTTATTTTTCGTCCGACTAGAGCTCATTTTTGTCTAAACATGAATCTCAAAGTATAAAAAAATGGCGAACCAAAGCTTGGAATCTACAACCCTGCAATAGACTGCAACCCTGTAATAGACTGCACAAGTTAAAACCGCGCATCGATGTATGGCTACTCATATAAGGTCAGTATAAAATAAACGTTGCAGTTTGTTGCTAGTGGGAAATTGTTAGGGAAGTTGGATTCTTCAAACTTCCACGAACGCCAGCAATATCACAGATTTCAGAGCAGATCTACTCCATATTTTAGTCTCGTGCGTTTTCTAGCATAATCACGCGACGCCGGCAAACAGAAATGTTGATCACGTGTTACATTCTCTATAACTTTAGTAACTTAAAATATAGGATGACTGTTAACGGATGAAAACCAAAATCTATGATGTATGACGCATGTTGAATAGAAGGAGGATGCACTTGGTTAAAATTTGATAACGTTTAATTGATGTGCGTAAACATTCTCTAAACGCATGATTGCATTGCAATTTCAAGGAATTACACATGAGTTATGATCACGATTGTCATGTTGTTGTGTTCGGTGTGAAAAAAGTTTTGTTCATCCAGTAGAACTCAAAGAATGTAGTGTGTCGTTGACACGCCTGTGGAAACACACAGCCTTTACACGGCTTGAACACACAGCTTAAACGGAAGTTGCGCGTTTGTCAAGCCCACCACACCGACCAAAGACGGCAGCACTTCTTTGCCTTCTACCACAGGGACTCTGAAGTGGAACTTTCAGAGAAGTCCAACAGTAAAGCCAAGCAATTCTTTCTTGGCAATACTAACTCCCGGGCACATTCTTTTACCTGGGGAGTAAACAAAAAATAGCAAACATTAACCTTTAATCATATATATAGTCATTTGGAATTAACTGCTGCTATATGGGCAACGGGAAATTAAACCTATGGATATGTTCTGTAATAACAGCTTAGGGCAACTAGCCTATTTTTATTTCTTATTAAATGGAGGTCAATTATATTTTACGACAATGTATTTAACTTGCCACAAAATTTATTATATAAATATACAGTATTCTGAATTATAAATTTTCTATCTTCTGGTGTAAATCAACCCCCAAATGACATTTGAAGCCCTAGTTAGACATTTGGAAATTAAAATAATGAACTATTTATATTCTTAATTTAGGACCTTTTTATTTGTCATCAGGCCCGTGTGAATGGAAATCGGCTAGGACAAATACCGAAAATTGCACCCCATTTTTTTTCATCAATAAATTACATGTTTACTAACATGTTATGGAGATCGTCTATTTTTACCCGTGCTGTAAATTATGTATCAATCTAGCCGTTCGTGTGGGCGTGTCCTATTTTTCGTTTGATCTTTGTTTACCACAAGACAACCTATTGCCTGTTTCTCTGGACTCAAATGTGATACGAAATGGTAATACATTCTGGAAATTTGGAGAAGATTCGAGTCACGAATACAATATATATTCTGCTTCCGAATCTTTTTAGAAACAGGCGATATCCATATAGAAGGCCGGGGAATTGAAAGACGAAATGACGGAGATTCCGATAGAAATTATTAACTTCACTAGACGTGTATTATTCTTTGTGTATTTGTGTGATCATACTCATATGTGTTTATTTCACATTCATCAGTTTTCATTGGCACATTATTCTAACTGTATTAAATGTGTACCGGTACAGGATCTACCATAATGTAAGTTGAAAATTGTCATTATATTTTCTTTTCTTTTGTAATTGTATTAAGACTTAATAAATCTCATTAATTGTAACTGGCAACTGTTTCGGTTGTCGTATCCTTACTATTATTGACTCTATGGTTTCGTCTTTTGTTAGGCACTGTTTACAACGAACCAATTAAAATTAAAATAGGAGATTAATTTCTCATATTAGAAGCCAGTGCGTAACATAACAAGTCATATAAAAAATACATATAATATTTTTGGATTATGTTACATAATTAAAATGCAAATTTATATACAAATTAGTTCAATTGAAATGTTTTTGAATCTATTAAGTATGCTGTAGTCATCAGAATGCTACAGCCAATGTACTGTTTTGAAGAGTTGCAAGACTATATAATGACCAACCTATTGAGTAAGACAAGAACCATTTAGGATAAAATGGCCCCCCGTCTTCCATAAGAAATCGTTCTGATTTGAACTCTGGTGGATCGTCTCCCACTTCCGGTCCCATCATCAGAGAGTCCATGTTGGTCATGATGGCCGTGTTCTTGGGGATGAAGTAACCGTTGATGTGTGTGTCCTTGTCAGACGTGTGGCAGGGGGGCATGGGGACTTTAGAAAATATCAAGAAATGTATTTAAATAGCAATGTATATAAAATATAACTCAATCACTTTGTTGGGAAAAGTTTTCGTATTTTCGTCTGAAATTAGTTCATCAAAAGAAGTTTTAAAATTTAAGCAAGGGCGCTAATCTCAACACACCTATCCACCAGACACTAAATCAATGAACATTTTCTTAAACCAACCGTTTATAATTCAGCATTTTTTTCATAATGTCATGTACAATCCAAATACCCCAAATCCTTGTAATAATAATAATAATAATAATAATAATAAAAATAGTGTATTTCAAAAACACGCTTCATCCCCAAAGACTCGAAGCGCGGTACAAGAGTAAAAAAAAATCTATAATTTACCACATTTAAAACAAATGCAACACTACAAAAACTAATTAGAAGCATACAATGTCAAAGTCTTTATAGCCATTTCAACCATAAGCAACACAGCCATTATGCATTAACTGGAAAATAAGGTAGACAATCATCCCGGAAGGTGTTTGCGAAATAGATGTGTCTTTAAATCGGTTTTAAAGGACTCCAGTGTCTGGTTGTTTCTGAGATCGACAGGAAGGGCGTTCCAAATTGTTGGACCAGCAAATGCGAAAGTGCGCTTTCCATAAGTCTCAAGGCAAACACGTGGTGTCGAGAGTTTGCCACTATCGGATGAGCGGAGCTCTCTAGTGGGTACATAAGGCGTCAGCAGCTGTTTCAGATAGGACGGCGCAAGATCATGTAAGGAGCGGTAGCACAAAGTTGCGATCTTGTACTCTATGCGAGTACGGACCAGCAGCCAATGCAACTCTCTCATACCCCAAAATCCCATCAGTCAACAAATAATTCACTTGTAATCCTAGAAACACATTTTCAAAAAAATGACAATGTACATTGTTTGTACAAAACTACCTATGTTTGCGTGTCTCTGTACTTCCATGATGGTGGACCATGTGTAGGCCAGCTGTGATATGCCTAACACATCGAGACTGTCATTCGCCAAAAACGTGTGAATCTCCTGTCTGCATCGCTTCTGGACGTCCTGGTGGTGGGTCATGTAGATCAAGAACCACTCCAAAGTCGGGGTGATGGTGTCAAAGCTTCCAAGCATTATTTCTGAGATCGTTTTTGGAAGATGCTCATCTGTGGAGCGATAGAATTGAAGGGATGATGTTTCAAGAAAGAATCATTTCTGTTTTTGTCAAACTTTAAAAATAATAAGATTTTATTTTATTTAAAAAAAAAAAATTGAAAGAATAATTATTATTAGACAATATCAATTTTTACATAAGTGACATTAACTATTATTTATATCACTCAAATACATACACAATTAAAATAAAGATGAACCACATTAATACAAAAGTAATTTTCTCAATTCTGATACACACCTGACAGTATTGTGGAGATGTCCTTCCGCCTTTTGTCATTCATCTCTTCAATGTAAGCTCCAGCGAAACACAAAGTGGAAGGAGATCCTTTGCTGCTGGAGTTGTTGTTGCTGCTGTTGCTGGATTCTTGGGGTGTCTGGTCTTTTGAATAGTTCTGTCAATAAAGGAGTCATTACATAACCTGCGTTTAACTAACGGTTGTTATACAGTTGTTAAAGTTGAACCCAACAGCGTAATGCTTGAAATTCGTAACTTAAAAATGAACAATTTTAAAAGCTACAACCATACATTTTTTGTCTGTTTGAATGTCCAGATTCAACACTTTTATGTCATGCTTTTATGAGGTGATGTCGTGATTTTCAGCTAATGCTATTGTGATATGTTAATATCGTGATTTGATAATAGTTGGATAGTGATACGATATTAATGTGCTAATGCAATAATCCGTAATTTCTGTTGTAACTTGCAAAATTTAAAGAGTTTATGAGGACATACAGTCTTGAGGTGCTGGGTGGCCGAATGGTCTAAACTGAGCCATAGCCCAGTCAAGCAAAAAAAACACCATCAGCACCACGGGTAGATGAGACTCGTCAACCCTGGATGGCAACTCATCTAAGAGAAGGAAACTCTGAAATCAAACCCGGAGATGTAGTCCCGAAAGGCGGATAACATTTGTACAATGAAACACTCCGGCCAATCCTGCGACGTCACTGGTGCCAACCCCCTTGGGCTATACAGCGGCGTGGAGAGAGGCAATTTGTTGTTGTGAACCAGCCTATAATCCTTGAAGAATAATCTCAGGCCATGTGGATTTCGTCCTCCGAAGCCAACTCCATCGTCACATTTTGACGGACGGATGCCAGCAACAAAAAAAAGTAAAAAATTGGACTTAATACTACTGGAATGAAATTTCATGACGAGAATATCTTAAAGAATGAACTTAATGTTAATAAAAACTTTTTTTTTAATGTCCTGTCTCTCTACTTCCATTTACCTTCGCAAGTCTCTCCAACTCAGGTCGCACAAAGTCCCTCTCAAACGTCAATGAAAGCTTCTTATATTTTCTGTATCCCACAGGGTCTTTGGGTAGTAGATGTATGTACGGAATGAACGTGTTCATAACGGCCATGTTTAGACATCTGGAAGTAAAATAAGTGATGTCTAATAAAACCTTTACGTGACAAATAAAAAAAATACAGAGAAAGAGGAAAATGAACAATTTTTTACGAGACGTCCTGTTTCACGCCCCCGCCCAGACCTTTTGCTACACGCACCTAGACATCTTGCTACACGTCCACAAAAACATCCAGCTACACGCCCTATAATTCTTGCTACACGCCCTATAATTCTTGCTACACGCCCTATAATTCCTGCTACACGCCCTATAATTCTTGCTACACACTCCAAGAAGTCTTGCTACACGCCCCCGGAAAGACATCCTGCTCCAGTCCCCAAACTCTTGTTACACGCCCCCCCCCCCCCATGACCGGATGTCTCAGCTCACCTTTGAGCATGCGCCAGCTGTACAATAGTCGTGCTCTCTAAATGAATACTAAATGAATACAGTAATATCGTGTAGCGTCACGCTGATGGCTCTATGGGGATGTTGACATAACCTTAAACATTTTTTTCTAATGAAATACAATTATAAACTGTTTATTTTGCCGTTTGTTTTTCTCCGTTGAAGTGGAAGTTTATTGTAGTTTCCAATTTATTAAGCAGTCGAGCCCATCCTCGAAAAATCTGCAAGCTTTAGTCACTTAGTTAAAAAAAGAAGGAAAACATATGAAACAAAATGTGTGTGTGCTTTTGCAATTTAAACTTTTAGGAAATATTTCTATTCAGGGGACGTCAAACACATTTCTTAGAACATAATTATATAAGTGTAATTAATTATTTTGTTTTTTGAGAAAGGTGAACCAATGATTCAAAGATTCAAGGAAGATTGTAGAAAGGAGGACTGACAATTCAATAAAGGAAGATTGTGGAAGGGAGGACTGACAATTCAAACAATCAAGGAAGATTGTGGAAGGGAGGACCGACAATTCAAACAATCAAGAAAGACTGTGGAAGTGAGGACCGACAGTTCATACAATCAAGGAAGGTTATCGAAGGGACTGATTATGACTTCATGATACGATAACTGAAGCCAGGCTTTGACATACTTGACATCAAGTGTCTCAGCGTAGTCTTTTTCTGTATTGCTCATTCATACTTAATAGTGCACAAATTGTGTCAGTAGGGACACAGTTCACTCAGCAGTTCTCACTTTGCAGCCATATGTTTTTTTTTTCGTTCACATACTCGCTCGTTTAATCGTCTTGTACTCACATAATATGTTAAACACAGTGACGTCACTAGGGGGTTTGGGGATGCGGGCCGCAACTGGTGGCAACATTACAGGGGAGGGGGAGGGAGCTGACACCCAAGGCTGCATACTAAAAAAAAAAAAATTACCCAGCAAATAGTCTAAATTTTTACGTACAATGAAAATGTTTAACTCTTATTGGTAAATTTTCTGACGGTTGCCAACCCAAATATTAATCCTAATGACAACCCTAATGATAACCCTAATGACAACTCTAATGACAACCCTAACGACAACCCTAATGACAACCCAATGACATCACCAACGACAACCCTAATGACAGCCCTAATGACAATCCTAATGACAACCCTACATGACAACCCCAATGACAACACCAACGATAACCGTAATGACAGCCCTAATGACAATCCTAATGACAACCCTAATGACAACCCAAATGGAAAATCGTAAATTTGCGAGAGCTCGCTCAAGTCGGTTTCATATAATATCTAATTTAATTACAAGAAGAGTATGCCACAAGATAGAGAGCCAGCAGAATCCAGTACCTCAAACAAACAAAAAAAAAAAAAAAGGTTGCCACTAGAGCAGGTTACCGTCATACTGTTAGGTACGATTTCCGTTTTGCCTTAAGTTAAGCCACGTGAGTTAGTGGCGCTCTAATTTAGGAGTCAGCTAATCAGTGTAAGGGAGGTTTAATCATTGTTTAATCTCTTTGCTGTCACGTGAGTCGCTGCCAGAAACTCATGGCGTCACAAGAGTCGCTGCCAGAAACTCATGGCGTCACAAGAGTAGCTGCCAGAAACTCATGGCGTCACAAGACTCGCTGCCAGAAACTCATGGCGTCACAAGAGTCGCTGCCAGAAACTCATGCTGCCCCCCCCCCCCACCAAGACTTCCAGTTTGACCTCCTCTCTTGATATTTATATTTAAAAACAAATGACTTTTGGCGCAATTTTTCTAACGCTGTTTCCTCAAATTCTATATATTCAACGTGTCTTACGAACAATGCTATGGGAGATTCTGTATGATGTGGTTCAGACTTACACAGAGCAGGTGGATAGGGGGAGGTATTTGAAATAAGAATAGAAGGGAGGGTCGAGGAGTTACGCCATGAGTTTACCGTACCGGGTGACACAAACTCTGGTGATGCCTCTGATTAAATATACTAGAGATGTCAATCTGTATTTTCTTTTAGTAAATTGATGTTAAGTATTTCTTTGTTTGAACATTTAACTGTTAAATAAAAGTACGTAGACATATGTGTGTGCGCGAGCGTGTGTGTGTGTTTGCGTGTGAATGTGTGTGGGTGTATCAATTGTTTCAAATATTATGATATCATTGTGTTTTTTTAAAATCTAAAATATTTACCCCAAAAGCTGCTCAATCATTTTTGTGTAGGACAACAGTAGGTCCGAATCTAGGTCCAGTTGACGTCCATACGCCATGGCGAAGGATATTGAGCAAACGGACCTCTTCAACACAGGTGCGACATCGACTTGTCCACCTTCCCCCTTCTGTATCAGACAGTTGAAGTTGTCAGCCAAATTGTTCAAAGCAGTCTCCATGTAGCGCTCCAAGAGTCCACCAGCTGCGGTCAGCTTGTGTAACGTCTTCACAATATTTAGCTTCTGCTCCGTCCAGACATGTCCACTTGTGTTTAACAAACCTAGGGGAGGAAAATGATTGTTTGGGTTCATTAACACTGTTTGTATTACAACATGGCACATCGATAAAGTCAGGCACGTTAAAAAGAATTATTTTAACATCGCGAAATGCTATGTACAGATTAGACTACAAATATTGATTGCAAAAAAAAAAATGCTAGTAATATGCCCCTTGCTAGCATCGTTCAACATTATGCATTGCATCAAGTTAGAATTTCTTAAACACATGGTGCTACAAAAGTATTCAAAATACAATAAGTTCACTGTCACTGTTATGACACAAAGTTTGTTTTAGCCAGATTTTGACACTTCTAGACTCTAAATAAAGGTTATGATGATGAGTGCACATTTTGACACTTCAAGTTCTACTTTAGATTACGTTAATGAGCGCAAATTTGACACGTATAGATTGTACATAAGGCTATGTTGGTGAGCGCATATTTTGACACTTCTAGATTCTACATTAAGTTATGTTGATGAGCAAGAATAGGAGAAACAGAAGGTTAGCTTTAAACACGTTACGTACAGAAACAATTCATATCTGCTCAACAAATTTATAAATAGAGATGTTTTTAAAAATTATCTAATAAATTTACCTTTATGGTCCGCCAACCTGTCGGTAATAAATGTTTGGGGGCGTTGCGAGAATTCAGCCCCCCTGACATGTAGTACTTCATGAACCACGTCATATCCATTGATGAAAACAACTGGCATGGTCCCCATGTAGACCTTGAACACATCGCCATATTGTTTTCTC